TCCGATGACCTCTTCCACGCCAGCTGTCTGAGCTGGAGTGCCACTGTCAGAATCAGCAAGGTGTGGAAGAAGGGCTTGCCGAGCAATCGAGTTCGCAACCTGCGACTCCGTGTTGTCCGAGATCACAGCATGTGAGTGGGGAGTGGCAGACCGACTCTCGTCCGCTTGCTGCCTGCTAGCAGAGGTCACCAGATCTCTCGCCACGGCATGTGCACTGCCAACGTCGGACGGAGCTACTCTGATGTTCTCTTCAATGCCAGCTGTGCGACTGCTCCGTGCTGGATCACCAGCGGCAGAATCAGCTAGGTGTGGCAGGACAGCCTGGCGCACAATCGAGTTTGCAACCATTGACTCCGTGTTCAGGTTGCTGTCATGGTGCGATTCGTCGCCACCGTGCAAGCTTACCGGTTCAGGTGTCAGGGTGAATCCACGAGCCATCGTGGAAGCAATGGCATTCTGAATCAAGGCTGCCATCTCCAAATCCCCAGGACTCGAGTCAGCACTGTGCGGCTCTTCCCGATAGCCACCCCATCTCAATTCATGCATAAGCGGAGCAATTGCCTGCCTGGCAACAGATCGGGCAGCAATTGACTCGGTATTCGCATCAGACAGTTCATGCTGCGAAGCAGCAGACAATCTTGGCGGCCTCTCATGTGGTTTACCAGCGATCGAGACCACATCTCTCGCAATTCGAGCCACAGAACCCTCGTCTTCTGAAGCTTCATGTTCATACTCGCCGCGGGTGATTTGCGAGACGGCACTGCATGCACGGTCGAGTGACCTCGCGGTGGACACCAAGGCCAGGGCAGGGGAGACAGCCGAAGCCTGAAGAGAAGCTTCCACGGTCTCACTCCGCCGAGATGGTGGCCTCGCCACAATCTGGTAGGCCAGCTCTTGGGCAATCTCAGAGTGCAGGCCATCCTCGGGGCTCCTTGCCAGTTCCCGAGCGGAGCCGGAGTGTTTCCCACTGTCAGGCGAAGGTGTCGTCAGCTGTGTTACGAACACCTGCGCGACGACGTTGCTCACATCCGCAGAGCGCAGATCGGCAAAGTTGAGATCAAGATCAACATCAGTCCACGTTGCTGCGTCATTGCCTTCTGATTCTGCCTGTGCCACCATGATATCTGCCAAAAGAGATTTTGCAACGGCAGCTTGCACGTCAGAGCGGCAGGAGTCGTCGCCAACGCTGCTAGCTTTCGATGATATCTGCATCTGCGTAGGCGTTGAAGCGCCAACTGCTTCTGAAGGAACCAAAGCAACTATCGAGTCCCACCATTGGCCTTGCAAACAGATCAGGGTGCAACCGAACTCTCAGACTCGGCACAGCAGCAATCTGGCGTCACCTTGTGACTCCCTTCAGCAAACATGCCAGCGGCTCCTTTCGGCAAGCGCTTCCGCTGCAGCAAGCCTGTTGTCAACTTCAACATGGCTGAGCCAACATAAGCCATGGCAACTCTCTGTTCCAGGGCCAGTGCGCTCGCTCGCCGTGGTGAGTCTCATCTTGTCCAAACGTGGAAGTCTTGGAGCCTGCAACGCATGCTCAGCCTGCCTGAAGATGGCGGACCCATGCAACCAAATCAAGTTTCTGTGAATGCACAGCCCTGCGCCTTGCGAAGCTGTCGCTTCCACATCAAGGGAACCTCTCGCTCGCGGAGACTGCTACCGGAGGTTGGCTCAGCAACGCAGGTTGCCATACTTACGCCGTCTTCACAGGATTCCATTTCTGCATGATGCGTTAGATTTTTGAAGACCGGTGTGACGGCAAGCAGTACACGGAATGCTTGCACCTCGGGGCAGAACTCGTCCGGTGGAGGAGCCGGTCGGCGGTGGCGAGGCCGCATGTCAGCAGCGCGAGGCCGCATGATGACAATTCGAGCTCTAGCTTAAAAAGGCTTTTCTGCTTTTTGCAGGGAGTGGCTCGATCCTTGAGTTGCTCCAAGGAGGAGCCGTTTCATGCATGGGCTGTCCCTTTGCACGCAGAGGGCTTTGGTGCGTAAACAGATGCAGCCCCATGAAGGCGGTCCAGGACAACACAGAACACCACTGGACACTGTGACCGGCCAGAACAATTTTCCCATGTGCGTGCCTGTACAGGAGTTGCAGCTGCACATGGCATCCCAGAGAGCAGCTATCCGCCTGCGGGCGCAGGCGATCTGAACCAGGTCAACACAGTCGGCTTCATCGGCTTCTGTTCTGGAAAGATAGCAAGACTACATGAACCTGAACAGTCCACTTTCGGTCATGCAACAAAGCAAACGAAACGAGTACCTGCCTGAAGCATCGTAGTACACGGACATGTCAACAGCTGTCGGTGACGGTGACCCAGCACCTAGCGACTGAAAACATGTCCTTTCAGATGCCCACTGCTAACCCTTGACTCCAAGTTCGACACCGTGTGCTGGTGGCGGTCGATGGACCGGGAAACCTCAAACCCAGGCCCAAAGATAGCATGACTCGCTCAGTGCACTTTGAGCAGAGCTGGCCTTCCATAAGAAACGTAGCTGCCGTGGATACATCGTTGTAAGCGTAATCCAGAGCACGCCGCACCTGCACGCTGACGATAGACAGCTCCAGTTGTTGACACGGTGAGATTCCATCTGACTGCTTCCCAAGCGGACCTCCTCATTGTCAAACAAAATCCAACGAACCACCGAAGCGCTCAACGAGTGCCTCGGCCTCCTCGAAGCCCAATGCTTTCAATGCCTCGACCTGAACGCCGGGAAGACGCTTTGCATGGAGGTCCACGCTCAAGACTGGCTCCTTTATGCATTCTAGCACCAGATTCTCTGAGCAGATCCGCAGCTTTAGCAGGGACTTGCGGACTTGCGTGTTTCGCATAAGTCGTCGAAGGAATGTCGACATGATCATCGTGGCACTGCCGCAAATCTTAATTTCCATTTCCACATCTCCAACACACTGTGCACAGCCGCCGACATTGTCGAAAGCAGCGGGGTTTGGAGCCGGTATCGTCAAGAAAATGTCGTCTGCCGCATCTCTGACCTGCAACTGTCAACTGGGCATGGGCATTGTCTGGCACCTTGCTCGGCTGTGGTCGCCTCTCGGAAAAGATCCCCTCCGTATGGCTGCACACCAGGATCCTGCAGAAGAGGGAATTCAAATACACGCAATCCCTACTTGAATGAAGGTTTGGGTGGAGAATTATTTTGCCTTTTTTTGTTATTTTGGGGCCTTTTTTTTTGGCCTGCGGGGCGTGGGTTGGGTGGGGTGCAGGGGGGGTGCGGGGGCTGCGGGGAGCTCGCGAGGCGTGGGGGCGGCAGGGAGGGGGGGTGCTCGAGGCCCAAGTCTTTACGTACAAGTGGGCTTCGAAGCAATATACGGAAGCAACAGACCGTGTTGACATGACTTAGATCAGGCTTGATGCGATGTGTCATACAAGCATTGTATTAATCTATCTTATGTTGATATTAATTCGCTATTATATGTATATTGACGAGGTAAAAAAACTCTTACATCAATAGTAAGTTGAAGCTTTGGTAATACTGCAAAAGATGTTACAGGTCAGTCAAACGTTGTATAACAAAGACTCGTATTGCATTGCTTTATGGTTATACGAATACTATATCCAGAATATGCAGAGCTTGGCTAATATGTTAATAGGCAACTACTCTTACTTACGGTCATTGTTATACATTGTGAATGTTAGTATTTGTTTCTATTCTGCTATGGTAAAAAATAGTATATTACACACTGAAGCCCTACCGCACATTATATTCACCGTATCATGTTGTATTCTATTCTGTTTGGTAAATGCTATCTTATAATGCCAATGTCATATTAGCTGATTATAACATAGCGTATATAGATACACACAACCATGTATATATATATACTATAGGATAGCTACATTATGTTGTATTGTGCTACATTACCGATTGAAATGTTTCCTTTAGACATCCAAACTTCCGTGCTGCTGCGCCTACGTATTACCGGAGGGAGTGGGCTGGAAGTTGCACGAAACTTGTGTCAGCTGTACGACACACTAGCAAACAGACTAATGATGGACCAGCCTCGCAAAGAAAAGTCCAGCTTCCTATACCCATCTTATGCAGGTCTCTCAGTGTCGGGTCACAGTTTAGGATGTACACTTTCGAAGGTTTTTAGCAATGCCAGGTCATCGTTTAACGATTGTCATATGTTATGTTATATTGGTTATCATGCCATAACTATATGTTCTATTCTGTCATGTTTTATCCGGATATATTGAATCGCATACCCGGTGAGATAACATGCCTCAGTAGATTACACATTACTACATGAACTAACACTACGTCATATTGGGTTATGTTCTGTGATATTATGAAGTTTATTTGATTTTGTATGGTTTTGTACACGTACAGTATGCATACTGAATGATTCTTCAGTATTGCACGGTATCATAATATGAGGCAGAAAGTACCAAATAGTTTAAAGACAATCTAGCGTAAGATGATATAGCCAACTATACCCTAAATCAAACCGTTGCATTAGTACTAGTCTTGCTGATAATAATAGTATATAAGTCTGCTCATTATTACCCGTAGTCTTGCTATTATTGTTCTTCTGATTCTTCATATTGCCTTCCTTCCTTCCTGCGTTCTTCCTTCCTTCCTTCCTTCCGTCTCCATTCTCCCACACCTTCGCAGCTTCTCGCAGCTTCGTGGCTCCACCCCCATTGTCCCGACCTGCCCTGCCCAAGCTTTGGGACGTTTTCAACTCCACGAGTTCGGCCAGCAAGAAACTGCATTGGCCGATCAGTGACAGAGCTAGCTTCGACGGAATTTCAGTGCGCGCGTTTCACTATGACCTTGTCAAGGCTTTGGCCTACAAATTCTGTCGATGCAAACAGCAATCTGATAAAAGACAGCAGCCACAAGCTCCGGAAGAGCTAGCTCTCTCATGACAGCAGTAGCCTTGAAGTTGTTGCAGAGCTGTGCCAGATGGGCTCGAGATAAGGATCGCAAGTAGTGCTTTCCCCAGGACCTGCTCCATCACAACTGAAGAACGAGGGGGCCTTGAGCGCACAGCATGCTGAGACCACCGCTCATACCAGTCCTGGCCAAAGGACGCGAGTGCTGGTGGCGGACGGCGGCCCTACCGGCCTGTCTCGACACGGCTTCAGCGACCTGGCCGCTGACCTGGACTGCTTAGCCAGCATAGGGTGGACCTTCAGCGCAACTGAGCAGCGGGCATCATCGACGATGCCTGCTAGACGATCGTCTTCAACTTGCAGGGGTTTTTGCTCAATCCAAGCTTCTTCCAAGTTCAAGCATGTGGCGACAACAAAGAACCGAACGGAACCAGATGGCTCTCAACATCTCCCGTGACAGCGAAAAGAAAGGTCCGGGTTTCATTGACAGATCGACGATTTCGTTCTGGCAGAGTGCTCCGATTGCAGAAGGAGGGAACTTGCTTGTCTGAGGCCCGTGACAGCGACAAGAAAGGTCGGGTTTCATTGACAGATCGACGATTTCGTTCTGGCAGACGGCACCTCGGGCACCCTGCCTGGACCCGAGCAGCTGCACTGCCCATAGAATGGTGCTTACGAGGGACGATGTGAACCTGTTTTGAACTGAAGCAATGTTGCTTCTGGTTGCAGTTGTTAAGGACGCTGTGAGCGTGAAAATGCGATGGATTCACGGGCATGAGTTATCCGATCTGGATGTTTGTTGGAGCCCATGTGGGAAACTTGTTGCAATGAAGAGCCAGCGAAGCCAGCTTGGACTCGGAAGTTGCCTTCACCTTGAATGTGCCGGAGTTCTTCGAGAAATGCTGAGGCCTTTCGAAGACATGCTGAGACAGCCTTCCTCGCGACAGAGTCCCCAAAGCTGAGGGCTCGACTCCCGAAGCCTGCGCGGCACCCGGGCAGCACGGAAAGGGAAAAAAAGAAAGGAGTTCAGTTCAAATCTTGCTGGCCTCTGCGTGCTCGCTTTGCAGCAGTCCGGAGAGGACCTCCACCAGCTGTAGCCGGCAGCACCTCGAGAAACCAGGAAGGGAGCTGAGTGAGAAAGCCACCTGAGCCATCTGAGCCACTGGATTCTGCATTCTGCAGAAACAGGCATCTCCGAAGCCCACACCTCTGCCTCACAAGGCAGAGAGAGGGAGAGAGTGCAGGCTTTCAGAAACAGAGGGCGGGCGGGGCCTCTGCATGCCCAAATTCGTCCGGACCGTCGTAGCTCAACTCGACTCGCAGCCTCAGCGCGGCGCAGCTCAGTGGCCGAGGAGTCGCTTTCTACGCGCAGCTCGGGCCGCAACAGTTTGCCCGTGGAAGGTCCAGCAACACGAAGGACGACGTCCTGTGCTGCCAAAGACAGGGCGCAGAGAGTTGAGGCGGCAACAATTACAATTACGGCGACAGCTTTTTGGGATTGATCTGCAGCGGTCCATGGGTCGAACGATGGGAAATTATGTGCTGGAGTCTGTCCACTGCGATGAAAGGGGACTCGCCTGGCTTCGCGGATGATCCCGTCGCTTGACTTTCTCACGTAATACCACTATGCTGCAGAAAAAGCTAGGTAGCTCCTCCGTGGAGCTACAACATCTCACCGGGACGCAACCTCAGCAACCAAGACAGACCGTACAAGAACACTTAAGTCTGTGCCTGGTCATGACGACTTGGCAGCACCTGCACCGGCAGATTGGCAAAGACTACCAAAAGCAAGAATGCTTAGCACAGCATTTACCAAGACCCTCAGCCGAGCTGCATCTGCGGATCCGGCAAAATGTGCACAAGATCTTCGATGCCATTGAAGAAACTCGACTCCTCTGCGATGGCTAAGCGGCTAAGCAGCCAAGCCATCTCCCAGTCCATCAGCTGTGTTTGCCCGAGCCCAGGGTGAGTTGCTAAACAGCTGGGTCCGTGCAATGATTCCGAGCTGTGCTGCCAATGTCCTCTTCCTGGCCACCCATTCGCTTTAGCTGGATGCTCTCGGAGATGAGTGCTTCATGCTAGCATAAAGCAATACACGTTGTTGTCTCGACAGCCGATACCTACATGGAGTGCAGGTGCAGCCTCCAATTGGTGGTGGGCATCCCTCGTTGTTGCACGAGTGCACCAAGCAACAGGCGATGAAAACACCTCTCCCTCCAACTGAGTACGTGTGATATGCGTGCCATGCGCAGCATCCAGAACACAGAGGGCTCCACAGCGAGTCGCGATAAACAGAAGTGAATCTTCGATCTCGAGCTGTTCCGCCGGTCCATTGTGGCCCTCGGAACAGCTCACCAAGAAAGGTGAGCCATAGACGACGTCTCCCACCTCGCATCGCCACATGACATTGCCATCAGTCAGGCGAATGGCCGACACGCTGCCGCCGTGTGTGCCGATGAAGGCCCGGGAGTCGTTTCCAAGGCACGGGGCAGCGAAGGCCTGGCCATCCAAAGCACGGCTCCAGGCCCGCCGCGGGGCCCTCTGCGGGCCCGGGCCCTCTGCAAGCATCTGCAGCCTTCCCTCCACCTCTACCACCAGCAGGGATGCCAAAGCATCCACGAAGACGGCTGCGAAGATTGGTGAGGCCATCCGGAGAGACCAAAGTTTCACCGGCGTGCTGGTGAGGTCCTCAGAAGCTGCAGGATGTTCTCAACCATACTGGTGTGACAGCAGAACTGAGACAAGCCTCGCTGGTCAGCGAATTGCAGCAAAACTTGAAGACTGCCTGGCCCCTCGTCAAGCAAACGTACCTCAAGTTCCGCAGCGAGAGAAGTGAACACATGTGTCCCTCGTTGCTGTCCCAGCGACATTTCACCGCTGCTCGGTACGAGCAGGGGAGCAGCAAAGATCGCACCCGGCAACTGCAACCGCCAAAGTAAATGCCCATCAAGTGAAAGGGCGGCAGCTGCACCACCATGCGTGCCAGCCACAACGATGCCCAAATCGTCATGAACGACGGGAGCACTCTTGATCTCCGTGTTTTCGTCTGCAGGCAAGGCTATAGAGGATGACCATAGCAAGTGACCGGACTCGATCGAAATGCAATGCATCTTCCCGTCGTAGCCTCGCAGAGGACAAAAATCAAACGAAAAACATCCAACACTGCTCCAAGTACTTTGAAACCCGTACCCGTCCTTCCACTTGTCCTTCCTACAAAGTTTATGTCAAGCAGCACACTGCGTATGCTTGAAAGTGATCGGCTGTGCATGAACAGGCGCAGCCACCCTCAATACGGTCTGAAAGAGTCATCCGCCAGTGCTCGACACCAGTCTCCTGGATCTCAAAGCACATCTGCTCTTTGTCTGCGCTGCTTAATCAAGTCAACAGCCCTTTCTCCAAGAATCGAAATCTGTCAATCAACTCTTCAGTTACCTAGGTGGTCGTGTTGCCTGCTCGTGCTTTTGCTTTTGGGGGTCCCTACTAGTGACAGGCGGGTGCTGACTGCGGCGCACCCCGCCGTGTGGAGGCTTGTTCGTGAGGGCTGGAAAGGCCTTCAACCGCTTCAGAAACAAGCGCTATATCTCCCTCTGTTAAGTGAGATCCCCATCCTCAAAGACTAGCCAGCATGCCAAAAAAGCCGACGGAAAGATCAGGGCCTGCTCCCTGCAGCTTTCTCCCCAGAGTCTACTTGCAGCCGAGGCTCGGCTTCAAAGCAACACAGCTGCTTCGAGTGAGATCCCACAAGCCTTACGCACAAACCATAGGAAGCGCTTAGGGCTTAGAGCTTTGAACCCCTTTTTAGCGCTCTATTCAAGTCGCACACGCTCTGAACAAGCCGGACAGCAATTTTAAAGCCACGAACGATACTGACCAGATGAAATATTACGTGAACTTGTTGAATGCTTCAGCGTTCTTGCGGCAGGAAATACCCCGACATACTCAACCTTGTCGATGTCTTTGAGAATTGAATGGCTTGCAAGCAGTTGGGCTTCAAACTGCCGCAAACATGTTGGGGTCAGGGCTAATAAAAAGAAAAGCCTGCAAAAAGGCTGCACATTACCTGGAAGCAGCAGCCAAGCCTTTGGTTGAGTACGATCCCCTGCAGTTGCCAGAACAACTAATGGAGGCGCATCCACGCACTGCTGTAAATCCTTGGTTCGTCACAGTGAAGCCGAAGCGAAGGCAGGGTCCGTCAGACACAGCTCAGGTTTCTACACTTGCGTACATGGGTTTTGTGCTTCGGTAAAATGTCGTAAGACCTACGAAAAGGACAATCGAATGAGACAAGCAGGGCTTCTCCTCGCCAAAGCGGGCGAACCCCCTGCTTTGGCCGGGAGAAGACGGAGGCCGGCGCGAAGCAGGAGCCCCCACGCGTGTGGCACATGCAGTCTCTCGAGGCGCTCCGCTCGCTCCGCTCGGCTTGTCTCGGGAGGATACTGCCAGAGCCATCTGTACCTTCATGGTCTGCTACACGCCGTCGCTTACTTGTCCGATCCGGGCTTGACAGAAGCTGCAGCAAAGCAGAAAATGAGATTGAGGCGGCTGCCACCACATCATCAAAATCAGGGGCGTCTTCGAGGCAGGCTTGCCGCAGTCGCGAAGCCAGCTTCATCAAGCCGGCTGAATCACCACCAGCGGTCAAAAACGATTGGCCATCTGGCACAGCGGGGGCAAGCGACGCCGACTGCGGGCTCAAGCAGCTTTGCCAAATCTCTTTCAGGACCGTCTCCAGTTGCGACACTTCCTCTCGACTCTGGATACGAGGAAATGTCTCTGAGCGGCTCAGTGTGCTTAGCGCACGGCGGTCGACCTTCCCACTTGCAAGCTTAGGCAAAGAGTACACGGGAGTGATGACTGCAGGAACTGCCGCGGAAGGAAGCAACTTTGCCAATTCCTCGCGGACCAAAGACATCAGTTCATGTGACTGACACAGACCGGGAGCCAAGACGCCAAAGGCCACAAGCTCTGGGCCCTGGTCTGAATCCGATAGCCAGCACGCGGACTCCGTGAAAATGACGGTCTGAGTCTGGTTAGGGAAGCTCTCGGCGAGCTCCCTCGAGCAAAGAGCGGCTTCCACGGAGGACAGCTCCACACGCTGCCCGCGGACCTTCACCATCTGACCCGAGCGCCCCAAAATGTATAAGGTCTGCTTGTGGTTTTTCGCGTCCCGCCAGACGGCCAGATCGCCGCTCCTGAAGCAACGCTTGCCATCGACGCAAGGAAAAGCATCGACTTCCCCGAGCTCGCCATAGTATCCACCAGCCAAACACTCGCCTGTCACATAGACTTCTCCGATTCGGACATCGTCCCACGAGTTCAAAATGTCGTCACTAACAGTCTCTTGTCTTAGAAGCACGTGTACACCGTCAATTGCTCTGCCACACGGCACCAGCAGAGCCTTGTGATCTGATACATCATCAAAGGGCAATTCTGCACACGTGGCATCACCAGCCATTTCGGTGGAGCCGTAAATGTTCAGTAGCTTGCAATCTTCCGGAATCTGGCGGCGTGCTTGTGCAACCAAGCTTCTCGTAAGCAGTTCACCAGAGCACGTCAGCATTCGCAATGACCTCCAAGGGCTCTTCTCGAGATTCGTGGCTTCGGCAAGAAGAATGCCCAACAACGTAGGCGTCAGAACGATCCTCGTCACTGCAAACTCACGAACCGATGTCAATAAGCCAGCAGAGTGCGTAGTTGATAATGGACATACCAGGACAGGTCCCCTGGGTGCCAACAAAGATCCAAAGATCTCAGCCACATGATCGATAAACACCAGAGGAGTTCGAGCACAAGCCACTTCTCCATCCTTCCAAGGAAACCTGGTCCACTGCCAGTGAAGTCGGTTGAGCGTCGCAGAGTGAAGACCCTGCACCCCCTTTGGTCGGCCTGTGGAACCGGATGTGAAGATGATGTGGATGGTGTCCTGGGTGTCTGGAGTCGGAGCATTTGCAGCTTGACCTGGTGCGGCAGCTACAGCTGGCCCGTGCTTCTCAACAAACGCCTCCACATCGAGCACGCGCTTGTCGGCGTCACTTCCCCGAAATGCCTCCCATGCAGACCTCGACAAAGCCGCGAGATTGGAGCCACACAGAATGCAGCAAACAGATGCCATCTTGAGCAACACTGCAATCCTCTGGGTGGGTCTCCCAACACCGGGACAGTTGGTGCTGAGAGGAACATACGGACAACGTATGTGCAGAGCTGTAAGCAACGACACCACTGCTGCAAAGCAAGTCCTTTCAAAGCAAACAGCAAGGCTCCTTTCCGAGGGGCCACAAACACTCTGCACTGATTCCAGCACTGGAGACAGTCTCTTGACCTGATGCAGAACTTCGGCATAGCTCTTGGCACGATGAGAGGCTGGCAGCTCATGGTCTAGCAAAGCAGGATGGCACTGCTCGGTACAGCGCCTTTCGAAAAGCGTCCACATCCCACCACTGCATTGAGTTCTGCCGATTGAGCCGAGAAGTTGCTGCAAGACATGCAGGCACAAGACACGGCTGCAAGTTTGAACGGAGAAATCTCATCAGAAACCGTTAACCGTTAACTCTCATTGCAGTCCTTGGTCTGTCCGAGCTGGATTGATCCCAGGTGAATCCGACAAACACCATCCGCTTCCTGCTGCACAGGGTAGCCAAAGCAGTGCTCCAAATGTACTGTGCCCTCCAGGTGTAAGACAAGTTCTGCATTGTGGCCAGCAGCCGTCACGGCATTGGCACTGCAGTTCACTAATGCAGTGCCAACGAAACCGGCATCAGGAATGAAAACGTAAAGGCCTCCCCCCATACAGGCAAGGTCATCCAGCAGATGGGAGTCCAACTCGTAACCGAATCCAAAGGTGTGCAGCGCGCAAGGCAGCTTGCCTCCACCAGTCCGTCTGTAGTCCTCGAGTGCAGCCAGGTGTCCACCGGCAGGTTCCACGTTGGGAACCCCGTCTGTAAGCAGAAGAACTGATGCCATGGAACCTGAACGCTCGCCGCTCCGCAGCATTTCGAGCCCTGTGTGAAGGCCATCCCAAAGGTTGGTTTGGCCATCAGCCCGAAGCTTGCTAAGTCCTTCCTCAGCCTCAGACTTTCCAATTCCGTCCATCAATGTCAATGGGAGCACTGTTTGAGCTCGATCGGAGTATGTCACGATGCCAATCCGGTCAGATTCCGTCAAGGTTTGGATCACCGCTCGGCAACTGTGAACAACGACATCCAGAATACTCAGCTCTGCACCTTCGCGGTCTTTAACGGTCGCAGGCAACTGCATTGATCCCGAAACATCGATGACGAGACAAATGTCTGCACCCAAGCGCTGTCTCAAGTCACTGGAAGCTGCCGACAGATGCACCACGGTGCCTTCACTTTGAAAGGCACATGCATTCAGCGACATTTGCAAAGACATGGCTGTCAAACCAACCCGTGATGAAGCGTTCTGAGAACGGTGGTGCTGACACCGTCAAATTGACTCAGTCTGCACAATGGGGGTTTCCGTAAGTCATTAAGTACTACCAGGCAAGTGTCCCTACTACGTTGACTTCTGATACATGGACTGTTCGAGAAAAGCTGCCCGAACACGCTACATCAACTGAAGCACAGGCAACCTCCCGGTGCGAGACTGCTGCTTTTTCCAGTCGAATCACGCTTTTTGCGAATCAGGATTCTAAAAAGAGCTGCCTGCCTGCTTTGCCGGTTTAAGAGACGGCACGCATGCAGACTAAGCGAAGGACTGTCTTGCAGCAGTAGAAAGAAGCTTGTACCCATCACACATCAACAGAACCTGTTCAGCATGCTCCTGGCACCAGGTCGAACAGCTGCTGCTGAGAAAGCCTTAACAATCGCAGGCCGCAAAGGCACTGAGTGAGACATTTGTACAGCGGCTTCAGCTTGGAGCTGATACACACCTGCGAGAGTTCATTACAACCACACCACATCCCGGTCTTTAATCATCTCGGGGACAGACGATCTACATGACGGCCTCGCAGCGTCTTCACCGCATCTTGTGGTTTCAAGTCGGCTTCAGAGCGGCCAAGGCCCGAGCGCACGTCTTTTCTTTCTCAGTGCCCTTTGGAGAAATCACCGGCATGTACGCGTGCATGACCTGGGCAGGCTCGGCGGGATCACGCCTGCGCGCCCTGGGCCCTTCGGACCCCTTGGGCCTTGAAGTCCGGAGCCGCCTCCCGGTCAATCACCAGGATCCACTTGAAGTGGGCACTGCTCTTTTCCAGATCGGGATCCTTGGCCTCCGAACTTATAAAGGCCTCTTCACAGTCCCGACGGGGCTCCCCGACACAGGTCCCGGCGTACTCCATGAGATGGGAGGACAAACCGATGGAACACGTGTCCCGACAGCAAATAAAGGTCTGTTGCATCATCCGGTTCCCGCTACAAGACAGGAGAAACAGTGGAGGCTGATCAATTGATCACGGGCGACACGAGCCGCCCCACTGCTCCACTCCGTGTGCTGCTAGCAATGGGCGATGCACAAAACACAAGATGCCTCGGTCACCTTCTGTTGGACGCTGCAGAGATACAGATGGATTTTGGACCTGCCAGAAAGTAGAAGGCGCCGCACGGTCTCTCTAGGGCTGCCTCTGAGGAGGCGGCGCTGCCAGCTTGTCGGATGCTGCTTGAACCTTCTCCCTGTCAACTTCCGGCTTAGCAGCCGCTAGAATGTCTCAGAATCGATACGAGGCTGAGGACTTGACGCTACCTCATCGAGATCCAACCTTCGGTGCAGCTGCACTTCCACGAGAGGAGATTTCCTCAGCTATGCCTATGTGCCGACCAAGTGCTTCTGGCTCGGCTTCTGCATTGCTTTGATGTCGCTCAACAACTCCTAGCAGGTCCCAGGCCCAGCACAAAAACGCAAGACTCGGAGAGGAGAGTCAAAGAGCGCCTTGAAAACTGGAACCGAATCTTTCGCGGCCAAAATGGACTCCACAGCCTTCTTCATGGAAGGCCTAAGGAAAGCGGAAGAAAGAAGAGAAAGGCAGAGAGAGCACTCGGCCCCGCACCCGCTGGTCTCCAGCTCCGCCTCGTCGAGCCTCCAAAGAAGTGGAGAGCTGGAGTCGCCCCTCCCTCCTTTTAAACCCTCTCCGCCCTCTCCGCGCCCTCCGCGCCGGCCACGGGCCACGGTCAGGGCCGGGCCCCGCCCGGCTGGGCGCCGGGCTTCTCTGCTGCGACGCCATCGGGAAACTTGAGAGTCTGCCCAATGCAAGGGCGAAGTCGCTCGAAGTCGCTGCCGAGTCCCTTGGCGACAGGCCTCTGCGTAGGTGTACATGGCCTGTCGCTACATGCAGAGGAAGACCCCATGCTCCATCGATTCGCTTTCACTGCGCCTTGCCATCCTCCACGGCTGTGTCTGACGACCGATCCCCACCTCAGATCCCGGGATGGTGAGTAGCACACCAAAGCCTCGCGGAGAGGACATGGCGCAAACTTAATCAGGGATCCAGACAGCAACCACTGTTGCCCATGTCAAGAAACCTAGGACCAGACATGCTGCTCAGGGCCGCTTCAAACACAACTCCAGGCTCCCGGCGAAGGGGTTGTGCCAAGGACAACGGAAAACAGAGCCCAATCCCCAACGCAACTCCAAGCCCGGCGATGCAGCCATGCTAAGATGAGCCTTTCTACCCCGGGCTCGCCTTCATTCCTTCAGCTCTCTTGCATGGAAAGAGCATTGAAAGCACCGTGTTTCGGCTCATACACGCGGACTTTGGAACCGATCCAAATTCTTAATGAATCCATCGCCAAGTATTAACTCTGGCTGATGGCTATGTCTGCGAGACGAGGACCGGCTACTCGATGATCCAAGCATCGATGCAGCACGAAGCTAGACAGCCAATCGTGTTCAGATGTCACATCCACGCCGTGCAACTACTAATTCCGTGGCGCATGCCACACGGCCTACAACTCCAAGCCAGCCTTCGGCGGCTAGGTCGCTGTAAGCCATACGAGGTTGGACTTGGGCTTGAACCCATAGGCCTGTGACTTGGGCGAGCTCATGCCCATACGCTGAGGCTTCTGAGGCCGCAGCTGTGCCCCAGTGCGTGTAGCAGCGGCAGCCTTCAGGACTTTGGAGGTGCTTTGCAGGCACTGCAGGCACTGCCATGTCTCGGAGCCAGGCCCAAATCACCGGGATCCTCCCTGCACACGGGGTCATCGAACTGAATCCATCGACAACCTGGCGGCACTACTAGCTCTGGATTCATCTACTGATTCCGTCCACTCAGGATCATGCGCTTTGCCATACGTTCGAAAATCCATGCCTTACGAGCAACTACGTGCATTCGCGCAGTAAATGGCAAACGCGCTACTGCACGCGGCGCACTTGACATTCTGCCAGAGCATCACAGCCGTCGCAGCACTCCTGTTCATTTGCCATGCAGAAGCTCATGGTAGTTTCCTCCATCTTCCGCAACAGAGTCTAATCAGACTTGACAAGCCTCAAGTGTGTCGGTCAGGTCCATCTGCAGCTCGCCTGTGTAAACTCGGGCGCTCGACCGAACAGTCTAGTTCAAAATCAAGCGATGCCCGTCTGAGCAGCTGGCCGGTGTGCTGATCAACAAGATGGGTCCCAGCAAGGCGCCAAGGAACACCTGGGTGGACAAAGAAGTAATAGACATGCCACGATAAAACCGACACCCGACGAGCCATCCAAAATGGTACGACGCTGTTTGAAGTGGTATTAGAGCGCATCGCGCCGTTCCGTCGCCTTCGTCAGTCAGAGGTGCTGGGCTGTACGGCGCCGGGGACGCTTTCTGCATCCCGGCCCGTCGCCCTCCATCGAGCGACGACCCACGAGTCTTTGGACCAAACAGGCAAAAAGGGGTGGAGAGGGTGGGAGCTAAAAATCGTCGGGCGGCGCAAAGCCTCAGCAGCTGCGGCATATGCGTCGTACGACGAACGTGTCCCTGCACACATTACATGTGTTACACGACAAGTTCGACACCCAACGAGCTACCCAAAATGGTGCGACGGACAGACCCTCTTTTTGGAGTGGTATGAAAGCGCATCGCGCCGGGTCCGTCGCCTTCGCCAGAGCTGCTCTGCGCCGGCAGCCCCTCACACCGCCAAGTTCACCAGCCGCCAGTCCGTCTGCAGCATCGTTCACGGCGAAGTCGAGGTCCTTGACCGCCGTCGCCAGCGTCTGCGGGCTTGCACGGCACTCGACGAAAGTCGGGGAGCCCAGAAAGCCGCAAGCCGTTGCCCGCGGGGTCTTTTCCGTAGCCCTTGGCGAAGGCCCACTGGCCAGCGACGTTGTCGATGAACGCCAGCCATCTCTGTGGAAGCCGTCGGGCCAACGTCACAAGCGCGAGCACCTGTGCCAAGATCTCCAGCACGTAGATAAAGGCCTTGCCTCGCCACAAAGAGGTCGAAGAAGTCCGCCGGTGTCGTCCCGCAGTCCTAGAAGACGCGGGCGCCAATCCTGACGACGTAGCCCCATCCGTTCTGGCCGCGGGTGCCGGGCTTGATGGGCAATCCAGACCAGCGGCCGAAGTACGGCCACATCTTCGCCGGCAGCCACGGCCGCCCGCAAAACATCGACTGCCGTCGCGATGTCGGCCGACAAGTAGGACATGGCAACACCGGGAGATCTAGGAGAGAGCTAAAAATCGTCGGGCGACGCAAAGCCTGCAGCAGCTGCGGCATATGCGTCGTACGACGAACTTGTCCCTGCACACATTACATGTGTTATATACACTACATTCGACTAGTTTGCCTATCAGTTCTGCTGGCAAACGAAATGAAACTATACACATAATCAGCGCTGGTATCTGTAGCAAGCCGACGACAACAACAAGAACGGCCCATGCTGACCTCAGCCTGAGTCCCTGACAACTGGTCGTAGAGTTGCGAGCCACCCCGCAGGAAGATGGCGGTTGAACCGGTGCTGGTGCCTGCTTCAGCCGCTTTCCAGCACAGGACACTGCGGCGCGAGCTCGGTGCCGAGCCTCACCCACTGCAGCACGAACGACCACGGCTGAAGCCACCGCAGAAACAAGAGCGGATACCAGGCCGACCTGAACTCAGCGAGAACAGCTAGTGCAAACAATCCAAGTTTTTTCGAGATACAACTTGCACTCAAGGATCGGGCACGGATCAGCATCCGTCGTCCCGAGAGCTTCCGTCGTACGACCTGGACTTTAAGTCTGACTTTCTGTGTTAGGCTGATGAGAAAGTGGCGTACCGGGCAGCATCTCGAAGGCAAGCAAGGGCACGCCACAGCGGTTGCAGGATCTGGTGCCAGCTCCTGCGCCCACTCAATCTGCCAAAACTGCCAGACTTCGCTCCAGGACTCCCGGTGCCTTCTTGATGGGCGCGGCTACGCAAGACCTCCAGCAACACCTGAAAGCACTGGCTGTGTCTTCAGCCGCAAGCAGAGGCTCCTTCGACAGCTTGGGCTCGCCTTGCGCTCTCCTCTGCCTTGCAAATCTTGGACGCACACATTCACAAAACCAGCTTCCGCACCGCCTGACCGCTGCACGGTTTCTCCGCAGTGCGTGTAGCGAACGGGAGCGATTTCGAGCCAAGTCGCTTTAAGCGATCGGCTACCAGACTCAGCGAGTCCAAGGGAAATACACGTAACAGCCAGTCAACTTGGAGATAAACCTAAGCCGCCAGAGCTGGAGCTTGCAGTGGATCGCATAGCTGTCATGACTGACAACTTTCTGCCCTTCCGCGGAGAGGACGAGGCACTGAAACCAGCTGGGTTGCAAGAGCCCCGCTTCAGCCATTCATCCACGTCCTGCTGCTCCAGCAGACCCGTCTTCGTCAGGTCAAGCTCAGAAAAATTTGCCATGATGAGCTTGATTTCATCCAGGGAGACAGTCTCGTTCTGAGTCAAGATGAAGCACAGGAACTCGAAAGGAGTTATCTGCTCCCGCAGACTTTGCTGAGGATGGGAATTGTAGCCTGTCTGCAAAAGGAACGTACGACAAAAAAGAGACCAAGATGCGGGAGCAACAAACTCGGCTCGCTATCACAGTCGGGCCCTTGTTTGGTTGCTCAGGCTAGGCCAGGAACCAACTCCCCTCGCGCCTCCTCCACGCCAGAGCTTGTCCGTGAAATCTACGAGCTCATCGAACTTCTCGTTTGTGAGTCCACCGACGACGCACGGCATGCTGTTACTCTTGGCTCTTCCATAAGCAATCTCCACAATCTTGGCCAGGACTATACCGAAAACAGGCACCCCAAGCAAGGCCAGAAATCCTGCGGCGGTTCTGAAAGGCTTAACACGAAACAAACTAACTGATTCGCATCCCTCCACTTCACTCCTCCTCTGTTTCTATTCACTGTCCCGATCCGTCACCAATAGCATTAGGGATGAGGCCTCTTCTGCTGGGCTTCTTCTCATCAGCTCTGCTCCATCTACGCTTGTCTAACTACCGATGTCTTCCAAAGAAATGCTCTGGCTCCCTTGTCTTCGTCGCTCCTCCACTTCTTAACAGATTACATTCTGTTCCGAATCAGTTCTTGCCGCAATAAACTGTACCGTAAGACAGGGTCGCATTTGCAGCATTTCCGGCTTCTGCTCTGTTCACGCTTCACGAGCAGCCTCATAAGCACCCACTACACAGGAATCAGTTATCGCCACGACCTACAACAACAGAAAAGCTCACGCATCTCCGAGCCAGGATTCCAATGACGACTCTGCTTCCAGGCTCTGCAATCGGAGTCAGATCACCGTAGCCGATGGTTGATAAGGTAACAACACTGAAATACAGCGCATCAGCCCATGTCGCACAGTTTTGCACAGCAATTCGCGCAATCCCTGAACTGACGCCGAGCAGAGTGACAAGGGCGGCCAAGCATCCCAAGGCCTTCCGCCGCCAAGCTTTCTTTTGCCCCAGCTTGTCAAAGACGCCCACCCGTGCTTGCTTTAGCTGCAGGGCCTTCCGCGCACGCTCGTTTCGAATTTCCAGGGTCACGAGACCTTCCAGGAACTCCCCGATGCTTGTTGCGACAATGACAAGCGAAATCAAAACGAAGAACACGAGCAGCAACCTGGAGCCCCAGTGCTTCGGCGCAAAGTCGCCGTAGCCCACAGTCATCAAGGTTATGACGGCAAAGTACACGCAGTCAACCCAACTCCAGCCTTCAAGGCTTGAGAAGAGAAGGATGGCCAGAAGTAAGTAGCCTCCAAGCAAAGCCACTGCCTTCAGAAACGTTCGTAAGGTCACCAAGTCGCCGAGGAGTTCCTGTAAACCATTTGTCATGTTTGCATGCTTCAGCTCCAGATGCAACTTTCGGTGCAGATCGAACATCTCGAAGTGATCTCTGGTGAGGACTCGAAGCCGAACATCTCCGACGGCATAGACCGATGCGTTTCGGGGCGCCTTCTCCACCAGGGCAGTCTCTCCGAAGTACTGGCCCTGACTCAGTCTCGTCAGCTCACGCTCCTCTGTGCGAACCGAAACGGTCCCTGACTCGATGAAGAAGAGCTCGCTCCCTTCATCGCCCTCCTGAACCAACTTCTCCCCGTCTTCAGCATGCTGGCTAGTGAATGCTTCTGCCAGCTGAAGCAGCTCATCCTCGGACAGGTTCTGGAACACCTCAACCTTCTGCATGAAGTCCAGGAGGTACAACACGCTGGTGCCAGTCTCTTGCGATGCATCCGTTGACTCCAGCAGCGGGTTCCGGGCGAGTCCGCCCAAGTACGGCCTCCTCTCTTGAAGAGGCTGCTGCATGGCTGGGGCAGCTCGTCCGGACCCACGACACCCCTTCGCACACCTTTGTATGTATACATATACATATACCGGCACGCACGCACATATACATATATGTTTGTATATATATATGTATATATACACATGTACGTATATATACATACACGCCTGCATGCATGAATGCATACATACATTCTGTTGATACATTATATATCTACATATAAACATCCCAGCCGATGCAAAAGACTTCATGGGAAGCACTGCTGATCCACGAATCCTGAACAGAAAATTATGGCTGCTTTGGCAAAAGATTGTGGTGCGGAGCAGTTCACCCTGCCTCTGTCAGAGAGGGTTTAGCGGCGTCAGGAAGCTCCTGATAAAGCAGGTCAATGCAAGAATTCTGCTGCCGAGGTTCGCCTGAAATGCGGTTGCAGGGTGTCTCGCCTTTTTCGGTCGACTTGCTCAAGTGCTAGTATGTCCTCCTTATGTTTGTGCACACGTGGAGTCTTCTTGTTAAGCCGATGGTCCGGCATCCGGGAAATCCCTGGATGCAGGGGTCGTCCTTCATTTTGGATCTCGGGTTCGATCACTCCGCTTCTGCCTCGCCTGTGCGTAGGCATTCATCGTATGTATAGGGAAGAACAGAGCACCACCGAATCGCTCCGACTGCAGGTTTTCGACCTTGTCACACGTTGACCTGGGGCTGGTATGGCCAAGGCCACGCCCGTCTCAGGAAATCAAGTCACGAAAGGCAGGCTCAACAGCTGCAAGCTCCGCAGCTGTGCCTACGGCTCTCAACGCTCTCTGATCGACGAGCGGAAACTCGAGGCCGCACGCTGTGTCCGTCTCCATCTTGCATGATATCAGCTCGAGGAAACAGCCTGTGCGACTTTCAATCTGCTTCATGACCCTCATCTTTGCATCCTCGGCCGCGGCCTGAAGCCACACCTGCAAGTCAGAGCCCGAAGCACAGGCATGGAAGGGCCAATACTGCACTTCCAACCCAAGTAGACCCAATGCACCGTCTGCATCTTCCCCATTCCAGTCTAGAGGCATGGGCGATGCCCAGCCCAAGCTATTCCACAGATTCTCCTGTAGGTTGCCTGGGCTGTTCAGTCCGACTGCAGACAGGCTCCTGACTGCTGAATCCACGGCGACTACCCGAGGAGGTTGGTATCCGACTTCATCAATGGCTTCAAGGTAGGAAGCAAGCCCCACATTCAGCAGCTTCCGCGTGCGAGACGAATGGCTCCAAACGACCACGTCACTTGCCCACTTGCTCCCGTAACAACGCGAAAGAAAGCTAGCAGCATTCTGGGGGGCAGGAACCAGAAGATTGTGAAACGGCAGTCGCACCAATGGAAAAACCTCTTCATCGGATGGAAATTCGGCAAGTTGTTGGAGGGGGCGGCGCTCTCGCAGAAACACATCAACAGACTCGGAAAATCGTCCATCGCGTCCCCAGCAGAAAAAGCGCCCCATGGCCACGCTGCTGCCGGGCCAGTGTCCGAGTCCGCGAAAGCTGCGACCAATCTCTCCCAAAGCATCCTGCGCACGAGGCAGATCCTCCTCAAGCAACTCGATGTCCACGTCATCATCGTGGGGAATAAAACCCTTGTGACGCACAGCACCAAGAAGCGTCCCACCAGTCACCCAGTATGGGATACCGGCTTCACCTAGCTTCTCTTCGACAAACAAGAGAAGGGCAAGAAGTCTGTTCTGGAGAGCCGGAGGTGGCAGCGCAGTCTGTAGCGAGGTAAGGAGATCCGTCGAGAGGGCCTCACCTGAAGTGCCATATCCAGCGTCCCGCACATCCATGAGAGTCTGCAGGCAATCCAAATCAGATGAATGAAATTCCCGGAAAAAAAAAAACATGCGCAGTGGAATCCTCACTACTCACTCGAGGCACGCAACGAGAGAGATTATTCAGCTTTGAAACAACATGCCGCGTACCAAGATAAACAACGTTTGAGGCAAAGACCCTTCACAAACATCGGCTTGCAGATGTAGGCATCAGCTAAAACTGCACAGTAGTCACAAGTCTTTCCCACTGAATCACTCGCGGCGATAATGTTGTATCTCTCTGCACTTCCCATGTCCTCGCCATCAATGCTGCAGTGAATGTCACCTCTTGCAATGATCATGCTGGGCATGTTGATTATGCCTTGTTGTCTGCCATTCGGTGCCTTCAGCAACGGCTCCCAGGTCACAATCGGCCTGGCTGGCAATGCTCCCACTTGCGCTCCGAAACAACGTGTGAGCACCTGGGGGAGCACCCTGCGGAAAGCACCGGTTGCTGCATCTTGCAGCCGCAAGGCCTTGACACGTACTCACAGATCTCACAGCATCCACCGTGGGTTCACTTGGTTACTCCACCTTGGTTACTCCACCTTGCAATCAGGCCATCTCACTGGTTCCTGGTCCCGCAAGAACAGCAAGCTTCTCTTTTCGGCTTGAGGTCCGAGCGAGTACTGCGGAGTAGCATCTCACGACAGCGACCAGGACTCCAGCACAATAGAACTGGCCAACAGGGCGTGGTTGCCAATCGAACGAAGCCTTGTGACAAAGGCCCTCGCCACGACAGGCTTCCACGCTGCGAAGTGGCACGGAGCTGTAGCGACAGCATAGGACAGCACCTGCAGGTTGCTTTTTGTAGAATTCGGTAATGGACGACGGATATCTGCGAAACACTGCAAGCCAGGCGCCAAGGTGCTGTACCTGAAAACCAAGCAGCGAACGATTAAGTTCTTAATAGTTTCGTTGTCCGAACACACGATCCAACTAGGTCTGGCCAGGTGCAATTCGGTGCCCACTGTGAGTACCGCGTAGGTTGTGAATCTTGGACACCTGGACTGGGAATGGTTACATGGACACAGATTTTGCTGGAGACTGTCGGAAAAGGGCCTTCGACCAGGACCCCAAAAGGCGAGTGTCAATGGAGCCTTAATTAGTGACTTATTTCGGACAAAACACCGTTGATTTCCATGCTGTTCAAAGTCTCTCCTGATGTTGAGGTTTGGACACCATCGTCAGAAGACTTCCGCGTCGCGAAGACCTGGAGCAGTCTTTTTCCAGATCCTAGTGCTGCCTGTCCCACCTGACGGGGATTGAACGAGTTGCCGACGCACCAAAAGAGAGGAAGCAAGCATAGGAGGATTTCCGGTATCGCTCCGGTGAGCTGCTCCTGCCTAGAAGTGCCCAAAAGACTGCACTTGATGCACACTTCGGCTTCACAGGGGCATGGACCTGCGGCCCCTGGCCCCTGCCAGGAAAACCAGAGCAGCGACCATGACCTGAGTCCGACGGTGGGCTCGCAACGCTCAGTGCCACGTTACAGCAAGGCCCTTGCCAACCGAAGCCCGACAGCGGCGAAGGCACTGCAAAGGAACACATGGCGAAGCGCCCGAGCAAGTGCCATGCCTGACTTATGACTTCGATCGAGGATTCGGATCTCGACGGTTTCAAGAGCCTCCCAGCTTCTGCGGAGTGGTTTCGATAGGAACTGCTGCAGCCAAACGCAGAGCATCTGCAACACCTTGGTCAAAAGGCATCTATGTCTTGCTCATTTAGCACATTTTAAAGTGACTTGAGGAAATTTCCTGAGAGCTCGGGCCGACGTTGCACCGCTCCAGCTGTGGCCTGGGCCGGCCACAAGGCTCCACAAGGTTGACGGAGCTTGTTTTGTTCTGCTGTGGGCCGGGCTGGCCGACTTTCTCTGGGGCTGTGTGGGGCCGCCATGACGCTGAGAGCGTGCCAGACATCACCGCCCGCGATACCAACCAGGGTAACACGCGCCAATCGAACAACATGAGCCCTCCGATTGCAAGGAGCATCAGGACACCTCCTGCAACAAGGAGAACTCCGAATCCGAGATCGGCTATGGAGTTGTGGCACGAATCCTGCCACCGTGGCAGCGCACACTGAACCTCCAAGAAGCCTATTCCCAGCGATGACAGCTGTGCCCCTTCCGCGGCACTGTTGTCACTGTCGGCATGTGCGTGGACTGCAACAGCCATTCTGCACTGCTGGCATAAACTTGAAGCTGCAGAGCATTGCTCCGAGGAGGCACCACTACCCCCGCAACCACCGGCAGATTCCATCGATGACCAGGCAGACTGCGCATCACAGCAAACTGCCAGAGGCTCGGATGGATCCAATTGACTGCAATCAAGGACTGCTGCTTTGCTTGCCAGGCAGGCTAAACTGCCAAACAGATAACCACGAAACATGGCAGGTCCTTGCCCGGATCGCCACGATAATCCTCCATGCATGTCCAATCTGATTCAGGAATCTGATTCAGGAATCTGAACGGTCACAGCACGTTGTTGCTTCTCGTTTGTTGTTTGTTCGGTGAACACTCTTTCACCGGCTTTCAAGGAAGACACATTGCCCATCCTTCCGCCCACAAACAATGACATGCCGCAACGACAATCTGCACTCCAGCCAGTGTTGCGGAATTTTGACATAGGCAAGATGAGCAGCAGAGATTGATTTTAGTCAAAAGCACCACAACACCAATTTTCAACATGTAAACCTTCGTCGAGCGCACGTGTGGCAGCAGCACACAAGAACCCTTGCTAATGGAAAATGAAACTACATAGCTTGCAAATCAAACCGCTAAGCCGCAAAGTCCTAAACCTAGCCAAAGCCAAAAACCCTAATTCCCAAAAACTCTAATCTTATGCCAAAGCCTTGATTCTTTCTGACACATGAGTGTCCACAACACTGACAGTCAATTGCATTGAAAGAATGCTTGCACGGCTTGGTCACGGTCACAACATGCAACTGTCCAATTGATGAAGATCCATGACTTGCAATGCTATTCAAAAAGCAAGGTGTAGGTGTATGCGTGTATAACTCCAACATTCGGCGATCCTGCAACCTTTGCAGGCAGCTATCGGAGTCTCTTGAAAATGATATTTATCGTGGCTTCCTGCCCCACGCTCCCCTTTCGTTCCCCTCGATGATTCTGTTTGCAATAGGTTGCCGCAGTGTCAAAGTCATGTGCACAAGTTCAAGAAAGCCCAGCGGCCAGCAAACAAAACCGGTTTGGACTCGACCTTCCGCATTCGACTCAGTTCGGTGCCGACTGTTCTTGGCTCCTCAACATCTCTGAGCCGCAGCTGGCTGGCAGGTTGCAAGAAAGACCGTCGTAGGGGGTTTTGCTCTGTTGAAAACCCGGCGTGGGTGAGACCCCCTTTCTTGGTACGTTTTCATGTGCAAACAGGGGCTTACAAGGGTTTGGGAGCAGTTTGAAAAAACAAATGCCGGAGGAACATGCTGTTCAGCTGGGTCGGGTAGTTTTGAAAAAAAACGCATGGGTAGCTGTTGCTTTGCTTCTTTGGACAAGAAAGTACAAGTCGTTGCAATGTCCGTGCATTCTTGGTTTGGGGAAGCTGAACATCGATGTGTGGATATGAGATGTGTGTACGAACGAAAACGTGACATCTTTTGGGGTCACTGCTTTTTTCACCCAGCAGATCAACTCGGCAAGACGCTTCCAGCATGTGTCGACACTTTCTGGTTTGACAGGTTTGTGAAATGAGCACAGTAGTACACTCAAAACGGCATTGTTGCAATAAGATATCGCGTGCATCGCAGTTTTCATTGTTCAGAAAAGCAAGACCCGTCCAATTGGTAGGACACATCTCGTTTAGTTCATGTTCTGGACGCAATCCGGCATCATGCACAAACACGACAATACATTGATCAAACACTGCCTGGGCACTTTCGATCATGTTAAGTACTGCGGCCCTGGCCTTTGCCATTTGGATTTGGAGCCATGAGCATGCGGGAGGCACAACTGACAATTGACACAGGAAGCCTTTCGAAAAGGTTTTTCTGAAACTGCTCTGTTTCCAAAGCTTTGGCTTTTTGGACTGTTTCTGGATGTTTGCAGCTGTTTTGCATTGAAACTCTTGTTTTTGGGCAAGAGGCTTAAACCAAGGCCAAGCTGTTTCTAAGTCCTAGGAAAAAGCCAATACGGTGAAATCCGGGTTCCACCAAATTCTGATGGAAGAACACCTAGAACGTCTCTTGCAACTTTCAGTTTCTAGAAAAATGCCTACACACGGTCATGCGGTAAGAGTCCCAGTCAATTCTTGTGAGCAAGGCTGCTACAAGAAAACTTGCTAAGCACAAAGCACTCAACGGCCAGGATGGGTTGACAGGCTGAATTGAAAGCGAATGCACGACAGCAAGAACAAAACAACAAACTCACTGGTTCCAAACGTCTGCCAAACACACAGGCATGCAGAGAAGTGAGAGTTCCAGCCGCTCCAAGCACGCCAACGCGTCCAGTCCTCCAAAACCCGGACACTAAACAGACACCTTTCAACCAACGAACGAAAAAAAAACCAAAAAAAATGAACAAGACAAGACAACAAAAATTGCCAAATTTTAGTCAATCAATCTGAGTTTTCTCGTTCTGCTAGTTTGCGCTAACGACGACATTTTACGCAGCTGGCTGCAGAAATGTTCTGGTTTGAGAAGAAATTGCCTGTTTGCAACGGAGGTTCCTTTGCAACTGTAATCTTGCCCTTCGAGCTTCCGCCATCAGCAAACTCAGTAATTTGTGCAGAATCAAGGCAGAAGACAAAGTGCAAAGTTTTGCAACAGTGGTCTTTCTCAGGCCACCAACGGCGGTTAGAAAAAAAAAACGACTTTTCTGGACTCCAACAAAAAATCGTTGAGAATTGCAGACCATGCGGTGGATCATGGAAACACCTTGGAAAGGTCAAGCAAAATCAAGATTGGTGTAGCTGCAGTTTCACTGTAAGGGCTGCAACTCGTGA